TCATTTTATTAGCTTTTGCCCATGAGAATCTTTACAATCTACGAGCATATCATCAACTAAAGACCGTACTGTAGCGTTTTGTCATTCTGCTTTTGGGCGATCAGCACTCTCTGCGAAAGCTTGAACTCAATGGAAGTTGAAGTCCTGCCTGATACCATTAGGTACTGCAGCGCTTTCACCAGCTTTATTAAAATATTTGCTGAAAGACTCAGACTTGTAATCTTTCTTTTTTTAATGGATGTGAGAATCTTTTATGTGACATTTTTCACATCCAACCTGCTGAGGGACTGTAGATGTAAATTAGCTTTAAGCTAACTCTGGCACAGTGCATCAAATGGCAAACACTGATGTTAATATTGCACATGTACAAATACGAATAAATAAAATCAAATAAAAACATGCTTACTGGTTACTTTGGGAATGGTTGTAATGGTCTTTAAGAAGAAACTGAGACACAATGTGTTTTCCTGTTTAAGCGTGTGGACTTGCTGTATAAACACATCAGGGTTTATGCTGACTTTTCCAGTGGAGTCGTTTTCCTTCACTGAATGGGTCTCCATGCTGAGTAGCTAGATGAGCCTCCTGAATTTGCAGCAAAACTGCTGTCAAAGCTCTCATTAATAATTTCCACTGCAGCCTTCATAATTCTCGAAAACAGCCTGTATATCTTACACCCGAAGGGTGGGGGTGAGCTGGAGGGGGATGGGGGGAAAGCAAGGTAGCTTTCAAAATAAAAGCATATTAAATGGTAAATGGTTTGAATTAAAGCTCGTGAGATTTGTGCCAGGAGCGAGAAGGATGGACAGGAATAGCAGAGAGTATATCAGAGGGACAGCTCAGAGACCAGGCAAGAGAGGCCAGATTGAATTGGTTTATGTGAGAGAGCAGTGAGCTCCTCCTGTGTCCTGTGAGCAGGATAATGACGACGGAGCTGCCAGGAAAAGAGAAAGGCCGAGGAGGAAATTTCTGGATGTACCGAGAGCGGACATTCAGGAAGTAAAATATGGAAATCAATGATTTGCTGTGTGATCTGAGGAAAAGTTAAAATGCAATTTGTCTGCACTTTTAACCTTAGCTGTTCTACACAGCTTTTTAAAATGCATTTCTTATTCAGTCATTCACATGCACGCACACACACGTGCACAGACAGAGCTGCAATGCAAAGCTGCTACTGGTGCAACTTCAGCGTTTGGCCTTCATGTTTTCAGCATGCAGAGCAGCTGGGGATCAAAACACCAGTCCACCACAATCCAGAAGCCGATTCACAGGAGGCTGGCATTATCACTCGGCCTCTCTATGCGGTGGAATATGCACGGTGAGCGGTGTGTGTCAGGAGAAAAATAAGAGGGAGGGAATTGTATGACGCAAAAATATAGAAATCACTAAATCAGAGTCGTGACACTGACATCAAAATCCAAGTCCAACAAATAACCTCATTCAAAATGTAATAGATCCCACTTCTGACTCATCTGTGCTGTGAAATGCGAGGTGAACTTTGTTCCCTGTTGGAGCGACGGTGCAGTGACAGCAGTGAGAATGGACTGAGGGGCCTAGAATCAGCTGTATTAAACATGTCTGGCTTTCCGCTGCTCCTCTCTCTGCTGCACGTTAACATTTGCACTGCCTTGAATACTTCATGCAGAGCAGCAAAACTACCTCGAATTTTCCCTTCATTTTTTCAGTAACCTCCTTTGACTGACACTGTACTGCTTTTGCAAAAACCAGCGTGGAAACATGAATCTGAGAAAAGCAAAGTTGCACCGGATTCAGGAGGAAGCGGAGAGAGAGCACACCGGCTAGATGGAGGTGATGTTTGTGACTTTAAAAACTGCTCACTCTCAACTATAACTCAAAGTTGGAGGCAGTTGAACATCCAGGCAGTGCTATTGATTTATCGACTGCCCATTTAGAACACAGTATCAGCCTACAGCGGAGCTGTGGAGCCAACTCTGTTATCAAGTGCAAACTTGTGAATTATGGCTGCGCCTTAGTTCTTCAAACTCATAAAGTCACGGGTCATGAAAGAGAGTCTTGGGAATTATGATAATCTCCTCATCAGCCTGTCTTAACTCACACACTTCTATACTAATGAGGGCCTCAAGCATGCGTCATTAGCTCTGACGAGGGCCCTCTTATCTCTGATCTAATAATCCTAATCTCATCTCTGAAGCCATCGTTATCAAACAAACATCTTTATCCTTTCCCTGATCTAATCCTAATTCTGGCTCGAGAGATTGTAAAGATAAAGACTTTCTCAGACCTTGTATCCTTTGACAAACTCTTCATTTTAGATCAACCAAAGTCAAACAAATGCAGCTACAATCATCACAACGAATCTGCGACAGTTTACGCACGCAAGCTGTTCACGAAATATACTTTCCTCCATACGCTGCACGTACGCTCGTCCTACCCTTTACTGTGCCGCAGTCTGAATATCTGCTTCTTGCATATAAAACGAAATAGCCTCGGCCTCAGTCACCTAGAGAATACAGCGTAACATGAACCTCCTTCCCCATCTTAACACTTTCATCTGGAATGTAATTAGCGCAGCAAGAAGCTTAGCACTCCGCCCTGCTCTCAGCCCCAACCAAGGTAACTCTAGGCAGCCCCTAATCCTCACCGCCTAATGGGATTAGCTCCGGAGGGAAGGGAACCCATGTCACACACACAAATACATTCAAAATCCAAACCTCTCCTCTGCTGTCTCACTATCCATATCTCTCTCGTTCTCCCTGTGCCATTCCACTAAGTGTTTAATAGGATTATACCAAAATTGTCCATTTCTTAGAAATCACATCTGGTCCACTCGGTGTCATCGCGCTGAAGATGATAGGATGGAAATAAGAAGCCTTAAATTATCATTCACCGAGTCTATAAGTGAACTACAGGGAAAACCTATGTTAAGTCATTCTAAACTGGTTTTAATGTATTGGGGATAGGCTGGCGTGTTTGGATGGCAACGGGATTAGCTGAGTGGACAAAAACTATCATTTTTCCTCACAGAGCTTGTAAACAAGATTTTGCAGCATCCAAGTTTTGTGTGAGGGGGTCTGGGACCGTTCCCCTGCGAAAAACAAAACGGTTAAAAGCAGATTTATCGTGTGCATTTCCATGTTGAAGTCAAAAGAGAAACAGTTTGGGTTTAAATTTTCAGTAGTAGCCCAAGCAGGACAATAAAATGTACACTATTGGTCTTAGGTGAAACTATTTAATCATCTCCATCCATGTTTTATTACTCTCACTGAGTGGCAGAAGCCCAAGCAGAGATTCCCAGACTTCCAGGCCTCTAGCTCTTCTATGAGGCATTCCCTAAGCAGCTGAAGTGTCTGTAGTGTGTCATGGAGCTGCCTTGAGGTCTCCTTCCAGTTAGAGCTGAAACACCTCAGCGAGGAGTCTCGCGTTTCGATATGGAGGAGCAGGGCTACTATCAGGGTGACCCAAAAACTCTTTGGAGGCTAGTTTGTGGCCACTGGTGACAGCAGGAATGTAAAAACACAAAAAGTGTCAAGTTCCCCTTCTCTCTGCCAAAAGAGATCACAATCGTGCAGACAATGTGTCCTGTAACTTGCCTTTTCCCTCCACAAACTCGTATTCTCAGCAAACCAAATCGACTAGCTAACAACAAATCAGCTATAGCTAACCAAGAGCTGGTTAATCCTAAATTAACGACCTTTAAAGACGCTGTTGACTTAAACGGAGGAACACAGTCTGCAAATCGTGCAAACTTAACTGTGAATCCATACAAGACTACCAATATATCTGCACATAACATTAAAGAATGAATAGAATTCAAAGACATTAACACTTTTAATTGGACTGCTTAGAGCAGCAGATGTGTGGAAGTGTTGTAAAAAAAATGTAAAATGCAAAAATGTAAAGTGGGAACACTGACTAAGCCCTGCGCTCTCACAATGGCCGACAGGAAGGCAAAATTACAGAAAACCGAAGGCTTAAAAACAGCTGTAAATGTGGTTCTTGCAGTTTTCCTTCAGCATGCCTACAAACACACCCACAGCCCTGATGTAAGCAACAAAAGAAAACACTCAAGTTTTAGGAAAAAGGTGCTTTGGTGTCATAATATTTCTAATAGCAGCCCCTCTGGAAAAACCATAAGTCACCTTTTCTAATTTATTCTAGAACGAAGATTCAAAATACATAAGTTAGCATATCGTTCTTGTTATGTTACAATATCAGCGATAAGGATGAAAACCTTAATGACGAAGCACACGATCAGCTTCAGTTTGCACCACTACTGCATCCCACTTCATTCCTGACACTCAGCCGTAATGTTTCATTATCTCTCGCTTCTTAATTTGAATGCCTAACGAGTCCAGCAGCACTGCGCAGCGTCTGACCAGCGTTCAGCCTCAGGTCTGCGAGAGAGCTGCAAACCCAGCTGATAACTACTGACCTTGCCAACAATCCCAGTTAAACCAACTTGTCTGTGCTGGTGTAAGTGGAACATAAATGGGAAATTTAACAGGCACTAAGCAGAGAGCTGAGAGTTGTGTCTTTGGCCAGATGTTATAGTTGCACAGATGTAGGATATGCACTACGAGCGGCCAATCCAGCGCTGTGCATCCAACATGACGACCAGAAAATGACAGGCGCGCACAGATGTGCAAACACACAGCAGCATCAGCGACAGTTCGGAGCATTTCCAAATCACAGCTCCATCTCTGATCCCATCAGGGTGATGCTCTTGATCGGAAGCCCAGCAACAGAGACCCTGAGGTGGGTTAGAGCTCTGCCAACAGCTGGGTCCTTTCCAGCACTCCCATGTCTTATTCATGGATATCCATCAGCTCTCATCACTCATCAGACAGACTCTCCGACAAACAAGCGCCGAGACACACGCATGCACGCACACGGACACGCTCACACGCGGACTAATCAAGGACACGAGGCACGGTGAAACTCGATATGCAGGAACAAGCGAATCAAATTTGCTTCAATATGATGTGCGCTCTGGATTTGTGAACGCGGGTGTATGCGCCTACCTAATCCAGGTCATGAGCTCCACGGTGTCTGGATCATAAAACTCCCTCAGTTCTGATAACTCCTCCATCAGCTTAGGCCAGAACTAAAGGGAAAAAAGACAAAGACAAGTGATGGAAAATTCGGTTTATGAAGCCATAAGCAGAGTATCAAACCCACTGATATATCTTTGATAACATCTTATTGCTTCACTGAACATAACAGGGAATACGACAGCTATTTAGATTCCTCCAACAGTAAAATAAATAAAGGGGAAGCAATCGTTTTAGTATCCTGTTAGGCTCCAATTGCTTTTCATCATTTTCTTCCGTAACTTCCATTTAGCCCATTTTCTTTCCCTCATATTGTTCCATGTGGTTCCAGAAGTAAAACTCCAATAAAAGGTATGAGCACAAACCACCAAGAAAATGGCCTACCTTGTAATACAGGAAACCGATCATCACAACAGGAACGACATATCTGACAAGCCTCAACTGCAAAATGACAGAAAGAAAACAACTTTAATGAAATGAAGGAAAATAATTGTATCAGAAGCAGAGGAAAGTAAAGAGCCACACAGAGATATACCAAAAATGAGCACGGAGTGAGATAACAGACAGATAGAGCAGCTTTGTTCCCGACCATCGTTTATCTGATTCCTGCTGCCGTCCTGTTGTGACCACACTGACACCTAGTGGCCTCACTGGCAATGCCGGCACACGCTCAGAGTGCAGGCTGTGGATTCAGCAGCATAATGGTTCACCGTCACATCAATACAGGAAATCATAAAAGATAGAAAAATCTTTCAAGAGCGCCTCACGGTGAGCTTTAAAAGAGATCAACGTCAGTCACACTGGAGGGTGGTGACAGGCATAATGTGCAGTGTTACTAGAACTGGGAATCAAACCTCAGTACGTTCAGAGACATGTTTGAGAACAAAGTACACACTTCAAATTTCTCTTAAACGACAGTTAGAAGTCGCTCAGTGACTGGAAAGCTGTTCAGTCCAATCGCCCGGCCAGAAACGATCTAATCCGTCGTCTTTTTTTCCCCTGCTTGCTCGAAACTACTCTGATGAAGAGAATTTGAACTGGCTGTGCTCTAGTGTGCTTATCCAGTGGCCAGCAGCACAGCACTGTGGTTACAGACGACCTTTGGCACTGGGTAATAGCTAAAACAGCTCTTTACTCATCTGTGGAAGCGCGATATAACGTAGCGCTCCGAGCATGTGCACTTTCATCTAGCAGGTCAGGAACATGTCATCAGCCACGCAGTGTGTATGTAAAGTTACTACATCAAACAGGTTAGCAACCAGTTAAACATCTAACAGACTCTGAGCCACATCAGCAACCACTGGAAGTCACATTTACAGGTAACGACACCTAAACGGCACCGTGGGATCAACGTGGGACTGCAATCACTCTTAATGTGACACAGACGAGAGAAAAGCTACTGATCAGTGCAGTAAATGCAGTGAATGTGTTCGATTTGGGAAGAGCGAGCTGGTCAGATCCTGGATGTTTGGCAGCCGCTCACAAGACGAGCCTGAAGAGCCTGTTAGCAACTGTATCCACACACAATATCTCCTCATGCACAAGCAAATACCTCGCTCCCATGGGACATTAGCATAATGTGTTTTAATTGGTCAGTGGCAACAGTGGAGCATTTGAATAAACACGATCTGATTGGTAGAAATTCACCTCTTCCTCAACTCACCGGCAAGCAAAATCGGGCCATTTAATTGCAAAGTGCATTTACAGTTTTAGTCACTGTAACGCTGGAATTTCCCAACATTTGGGATAAATATAGTTATCCTTTTTATATTTTATGTTGTCTTTAGTTCACAAATGAATAATTTCTCCCATCTAAATGGAACAAGATCTGAGATTACTCAACCCTGACTAGCCTGGATGGTGAAGCACATTTTGTTCTGCAATTGCAGATTAGGTTTTTTAATATTTGAATTCTAGCTTTGATGACTGTATTTATGCTTCAGAGGACATAAAGTAGTGTAATTTTTGGAGATTATCGTAAACAAAGATCCTACCACCCATCCTCCCTGCAGCACTATTTGGAGCCAGAAGTGAAAATGTGAGCTCGTACCAGAAGTTTCGTGTTGAATCGGAGAGCGCTGAGAAGCACAGTCCACAGCTCGGTCCCACAGACACCGTAGGCTGCGACCGCACACATGTGGCCAGTCCATATATACTTCATTCTGGGCAGAAAGAGAGAAGGAGAAGCCATATCAAGCAGCGCTCGTGTCTCAACAGTCTTCCTCTTAGGAGAAAAAAGAAAACAGATCCCAGCCTCCATGACACAGACAAATTACACAGCTTGGACTGGAGGACGTTCCCTCAGCACACACACAGAATTCAAACAAGACGACCAACTCGTCTGCAGTTTAGCGCACGAGTTAGTGAAATGGTTTCGCTGTGGTTGAGTTTGATTTGGTGCCAAAAACACTGCATTATTTTTAAGTTCTGATCCAAAGCACATGAAGTCTAAAGCAAAGAGTTCTAAACAAATGAGAAAAAGATTAAACAGAGAGCAGCGAGCAGAAGACTGAAGACGGGGAGAATGAAATGAGCTGAAAAATTGTTGACAGGTGCGGAGATGGAGCCGTGCGAGGGGGGAGGGAAGGGGGGAGGCATAAAGAAGTGCAGCCTCACTGAAATAAATCTCAATACTTTTTTAATGCAAAGGAGCCGTCTGACAGAAACAAATGGCTTTCTGCACTTTTGGCTTTTCTCTCTTAATCAGCATTTTAGAGAAAGTGCTGAAATCAAACGTGTCACTTTCTGCCCTACCTGACTCTGTGCTAAAAGCTTTCAGGACTTTTTTTTTCTTTTGCTGCTTTTGTGGGAATTTAATCAGTACTTTAAATTACCAACTGTGACAGCAAAGCGCTGTGTGAACTATAAGTGTTAACAGTACTGCATAGACCTGCTTTTCTGAATCCTGCTAACCACATAAATTCAATTATTATCAACATTTCCCTACACAGAGAATAACCCAGCTACTGACAGACTCTTATTTAAATGAAGCTACTTATGTGAACCTATAAAACCCTCATAGCCAAGTTGCTATAAACAACACACCAGAAAACTCCAGTTTCTTTTTTAACAGAGTAATTGCAGGTTTCTTTTACTACAGGGACAGGAAGTAGTAATTCCACTGGTGATCTCGATGGTTTTCCTGACACTCCTCACAAAGAGCCTAAAGTTAAAACACAATTATACTTTCCTAGTGATAAATTGTACATGTCAGCGTGTGTTTGCAGCCTGAAACGCGTTCAGGCCGGAAAATTTACTAATGATGGTGGCGATGAAAACCACTTGACAATTACAAATAGACGACTGGAGTCAGGTCTGGGAGGCTTGTTGTGCTCGAGGTTATAGATGCGAAATGGGGAGAGAAAAAAATTCAAGCCACAGGGTGTATTAGTCACACTGTCTGACGCTGCAGAGCTACTGATACGGCAAAAAGCGTCGTTGTTTTTTATAGAACCAAACCTTTAAAGCAAGGAGATAAAAATAGGTGACAAAAGGAATTTGCCATGCATGTGAAATTAACCACTAATGAGTAGACAGAACTATCCAAACATGTTTGCTAACAGGACAGAAACAGCTGTGCAGAGACTGCTGACGATCAGGTATTTTACCTTCCTACAGAAGATATTAATGAGTAAATAAATGGTCATGATAAACCCCACACGGGGCCTTTAGGAGCACCATATGCTCACATTATAGATGCTATAAGTAAAAGCTAAAGTCAGTCATATCATGTTTGATCTCAACTTCAAATGAAAACGTAGCAAAAACCATCTGTTTGACTTCATCATTCACCTATATTTGCATTTTATATATGATTAAAAGTCGGGCATGCTAGTTTGTGGATTATGTGCAAATAAAGTAAACTCAAGGCAAATGTCTTTACTGAGAATAAAACTTGTTCCAGGTACAAGAAGCATTCTGCTGGGAAATGAACTTTTGTGCTAGCACACAATATCCATCTTTTAGAAATCGACTGAAACTGACTGAACAACATCACTAATGATATACCCACTGTAGCTCCTGATATTAATAATTTCACCTGATTAAACACACACAGACACACACAAACCGATAAAAGAAAAACTGAATAAAAAATGTTTGTTCATCCAAAAAAATGACTAAATAAGAACAAACTGTAAATGCCATCGAGAGCCGACACCAAACTGAAAACTGCAGTAGTCGGTGTAGAGGCCGATGCCGGTCAAACCAATGATATCTGGTGGTCACAGTTCTGATATTATAAGAGCAAATATCTCATGTCACAGCAGCAAAGGCTGCAGCCGGGCAAGCCAAAACATTCAGGAAATTAAGAAGAAGAGGCTGAATATGAAAGTCGACCACAAGAAAGACGGCGGTAAAGCGAGGTGCCAGCACTGGTGTCGGGCCTCTGAGTCTGGCACCTGCAAGCCGAGACACCCTCAGAGGTGTTGCTGCTCCACGGTGGGAACCTGCCAGTGGATTGTGCCATAATATTAACCAGAGAAACAGACCACTGCACGTCTGTGTGCCACCAGAAAACAGGAGAGGAAGAAGCAGCAAAGAAGGCTCTTAGTATCCGACTCCGAACATATGTACAAACAGCATTTGTACAAATATCGCACAAGAGCACAGTAAATACAGTAAACAAATGTATCTCAAAGAAGATGGTTTTCAAAGCCAGCGCACATGTAAACAGTATGCCTCCTATATCTTATCTTATTTCTGGAACCATTTCTCTCCGTCTTTCCAGAGAAAGGTTGCAACATGGTTGCCTGAGACACACACCGACTGCAAAAACAAACCAAACGAGCCTTCTTACTCTCACCGGCACATAAATAAATGTATACTTGAGCCACAGTGGAAAACTAAAAACTACAAGAAGGAGTTGAAAGCCAGTGAAAAATCCTGATTGAAAAAAAACTACTTGCTGAAATAGTATTGTGTACTTACAAGGCGAAATGAAATAAAAAGTTCTAAGTTATAACCTTTCTGAGCCACACAGCCGTGAGACTCTTCCCAACAGTGGCCTGCTCTGGACGTCTTTCCAGCATAAACAAGCTGAAACAGCAGTAAAGTAACTTAAACTGAGCAACTTAACTGAAACTATTTACCTTATAAATAAGAAAATTTAATGATTCTTTTTAAAAAACATAATTTATGGTAAGTGTAGAGACGGCAGATGGAGCTTCGTTAGCCGTTTGTTTGCACCAGGTCTTCGTTAAAATTCTGAAGGGGGGGGGTCAGAGTATTAATTATCGATTGTTCAGCTGTATCGACTCTTTTTGCGTCTGCTGTGAGTGGCGCTGGATGGTGCTTGGCGCTGAGGGCTGATCAAGGCTAAAGCGGACCATTCAGACACTTTGTGAGAGGCGTTTAAGAGGCACTCGGATTTTAGCATCTGCTCGCGACTTTGCATAATCAACTCATCAAGAGGAAAAGTACATTTGGAGAGTCCCCGTCTCAGAATGCGACTACTTGGGGACGTCTGCATGTAGATGATGCTAGAATTACGAGGTCTCACCTCATTGTGCTGAAAGCCAGGAGGCCGTAGAACAGCGTGTGCAGCAGATTGTAGGCCACATCTGGACGAAATGCCGCCACTTGCCCCTCTCTGGCTCCTTTCTTTTCCTCGGTGGAACCTCTGTTAGGCCTGCTGAGAAACCGAAAAACACAGCGACACAAAAGACAACAGTGATACATTAAACATTACATCCAGACGCTCGAGACGAGAGGCAGAAGGGAAGGTGGGTGGAATTGATATTATTCAGATTTCATTAGTAGTTTGAACACAAGTGGACACGCAACAATACACACACCCACGACCGTTTCTGTCTGCGGGAGTCGGCACGCAGACAAACAGACGAAGGCTCGAGGGCATGATGTCACTCCCCCGAATTGGCCTCCTGCACCGAATCAGACGGACACTGGCTTCCATTTGAATACAAATCCAATCCGGCTCTTCCTCCTACGTGAGCTGGGCTAAACTGGATTAAATTAATTCCCGAATTGGCAAATAGCCCTTTGTTCTATGAGGTTAGTATTCCAAGCCTCCAACGGCAGAGTGCGAGTTGATATGCTAATGTGATTAGTTCGATATGGCCCCTCACCTTGCACCACAGGCGCATGAGGCTTCAGAGCGGCTTTGCAGAGCGTGAAGAAACAATGTGGAGCAGACACGGGGACTGTGACTACCACGACTGGGCTTCTGCCTCCTAATAAACATCTTGTCTCTTCTATTTTCTGAAGGAGCCGAAACCTTCGATTCATTTATACTTCACTAATTTTTCTCCAAAGATATCTGCATATGAAAAAAAGAATCTGTGGGCAAGGGAAAGAGTTTCAGTACTGGAAGCCTTCTGGTTTCCTTTGTAGTTTAATTTTAATGCATGAATGTATGACAAGCAAAAGAGAAACAGAGCTGATGAAATGTAACTCCAAAGCAGTGGGCTCTTGTTTATTTTTGCCTGATTTATCACTAGTTGCTGTAAAGAAATACTCATCAGAGGGTTCATCAGTTACCTGTCATCAGGGTACCTGCTAACTGCACCTTCTTCAAACTTTCCTTTTTGATAAAGTTTATAATTTAGTTAGAGCTGGATCAGCTGACCCCAAGCCATCCATTACTTAAAGCTCAGGCTGCTGGAGCAACCTCCAATAAAGCAGAGTACTTTGGAAAATATGCACGAAAACTGTTCCTGCTGAAGGTGAAAACAACAAACGTGTTTCACTGCACGAGGCAAAAACTCGCCGTCAAGTACAGCTGCTAAGAAGGAGATGCTAGCAGCTGGTGACGTGCGACCCAAACGTAAACAAATGAGCGAGGATCGCTGGAGCCCTCGCTAGCTGCAGACGGGAAGAACAAATGGATGGAAACTACTCCTGCACAGTGCTTTAAGCAGCTGGCCAAGATACAATAACCAGATTTATTATGTGAAAATATTGTTTAACTTAAGCTAGTTTAGTTCTTTTTTTTGTCCTGTCTGCTTCCTCACCAGCCATGACAGATGTCTGCCCCTCCCCGAGCCTGTCAGAGGTTTCTTCCTATTAAACAGGAGTTTTTCGTTCCCACTGTCACCAAGTGACACCAAGTGACAGTGTTTGTCATCTGATTGTTGTTTTTTTTCCTGTTATTGTAGAGTCTTTACCTTCAATATAAAGCGACTTAAGGTGACTGCTGTTGTCTGACGTTAAAACTAAAACTGAACTGAATTTGTTATCATTAAACTAAAGTGTTAAGCAGTAACTTTATACTTTTACATTAAATTCCCAGGCTCTTCTATGACTCTCCTAATGTGTCTCCTGTGCTAACGCCCTTGTAATCATTATCCTAATGATTCCTCTGGAGCTGAAGAGTGCTTTCAAACCCGTCTTTGTCAAGCTGGTCTGACAGAGACGGCCACTCTGCTCATTACTTTGCCGCTCACCCATACTGTGGACTGGATTTAACCCCCATCTCTTTTCTCTCAGGGTTGCTGTTCCGAGTTGCCAGAGATTCATTCCAGTGTTCATCCTGTTTTAACGTTCCCTTTGAGAAACTTCCCTTTGTGACAATAAAACCTGTGAACTTTAAGCTGTTGTCTCTCAGGTCCTGCTTAAGAGTCCGTTTCATAGTTACAGCTTTCATGGTCGTGGCACTGGGATACTTTCGTGCATACATTTGACTTGTGCTGTGTCACTACTATTGCACCACCATGCTGCTGCTGCTGGTACCTTGGTGTAATTAGTTCACACTTTGAATTCGCTAACGTTTCATCAATGAGAGAAGCTGACTGGAAAAGGCAGAAAATGGCCTTCATTTACTGGCTTTATTTACTTCTAAATGTTGCTGCCTGCAAAGGTCAATAAAACTGTTCAGTACGTTTTTTCTTTCATCGTCAGAAATACTGTTGGCACAAATTTGAATTACCATGATATCATTTGAAGCTATATCACTTTCCTCTACTTTAAATGTGTCGTCCTCTCCTCTGTCTACTCTCCTTGTTCTTTGTAGTTCCTCTCTTCTCTTTCTCCTCAACCCCAACCAGACAGCGCGAGGCTCTGCTGGATATGTTTCTGTTAGTTCTTACTCTCTCTTATACTGTAGGGTCTTATATAAAGCACCTCGAGACAACAGCTGTTGTGAGCTGGTGCTATGTATATTTAAATAAAGTGAACCGGCACAAAGTTTATAATTGATTGCTTCCAATGCAGAGAAACTTTGGCAATCATCTGGATTTTACTTTAACACAAACCACCCACCTAAACATTGCTGCAGACCAGGCATGACTTTCTTGGTAACTGAACTTTCTGGCAGAGGCGTCTTTCCTCAGCTCAACATGCCCCGCCCACACCACAAAAACTCTCCATGAATGGGTCAAAAAATATGGAGTAGAGTAACAAAATATTAATTTAATGTTGTTTTGCTTTGTGGGGTTTTTTAAATTTTATTTTGTGACTGATCAGAGTAATCTGGAGTTGCTTCGTCTTATATAACCCTCTCCACTTCCTGTTGAGTCATCACCTACCTCAGGTTTTGGAGTGCTGCCGCCACCAACATGCCACAGAGCAGAAGCAGCGTGAGGACGTAGGGGTACAGCAGCAGGGTACCGGCCAGGCGCTCGAGCGTGTCCAGGGGAAGCAGGCCAAAGGCCTCCTCACACAGATACAGACTGGCATCAAAATCCCTGCAGGGGAGGCGAGAGGCGGTCATCTGTTTGTTTTTCACTGAGAATAAATAAACACTGCAACGTCGAGTTAAATGGAAACCCGGTGAGGAGGAAGCTATAAAAGTTTGGCGCAGATCCAAATTACACTCTTTAAAATTATGAAATAGGGCCATAAATTGGCCTTGACAGAGACCGCACTTTCTGAGGGCCCTTCAGTTACTGATGCAAGCAGCATTTTACTGCTGCAGCTGGTCCAAGTGGAGCCTGTCATACAATAAGTCTGAGTGACTGTGAGACGACTGGATGGAGAAGGATGTTTCTTGGATTAAATGATTTCACTTTGAAATATTAGTGGCTGAGTGACTTAACACAAAATTGTGTATTTTAATGTAAATAAAACAACTTTAATGCATATGAATAAACATATTTGCCTCTGAAATGCAGTAAAACAGAAGCAACAAATAATAATAATAATAAAAATATATTAAACTTATGTGCCTGATCAACACCACAAACTATTTTTTTTCTACACCTGTGCAAAAATATTTTATTTTTTTATAGCGTTTAACTGAAATTACTGTTACCTGGCAACTGTACGTTATTTTCACATCAATGTCAATGATATCAAATGTAACACTATATATTTTTGCTGGTTTTTAAAAAGAGATCTTTTACTCATTAAAGTTGATTTCTACTATTGCAATAACCTCCTCTTCTCTATACACAGTGTATATGTCCAGGACTTTTATTGTGAAAGGAACAGGAACTTTCCCTTTAAATCAAGTTTCTGGAGCTTAAAAATGAAGCCGATGTGTAATTTAGTAAAAACTGCAGTTACTGTAATTGCCACCTGCAGTTCCACCCCAACAGACTCCCATGTAAAAACGTGCATGTATTATTTCCTTAAACTGCATGTTTACAGCGTGGCACAACAAAATGTTTTGGGCTCTATGAATACGTTTCCCTTTCATAACAACTCTGGGTGGGGGGAATTTTCTTAAGAGGGGGCGTGGCTACTTTAGCAGGTGTCCTGATACAGGGAGCTAGGATTCTGCTAGGTCCCACTCAAGTGGACTTCCCCACAGTTTTAATGCCTTTTGGGCATTTTCAGTGGGTTATTTGACTAATGTTAGACAATGAAGCTTGAAATTGCAGAGACCAAAAATCTTTTATACTGTCTATAGCAGGGACACTAACTCCTTTAGTTCAGACAATCTAGGAACAATAAGAACTCTGAAGCACTAAAAGAAATAAACCTTCAGGCTGCTAAAAACCTCCAATCAAATCAGGTTAGTAATCCACGTTAAAAGACCTAATCCACAATCTGGAAACACAACTTGTGCACTTAAAAAGGACAGTTGCAAAAATGTGCATGAATTGTATGCTTTTTACATTACTTTTAAATCACTATGGAAAAATAAATAACACAACCACTTCTTCCTGTTTTGGCTGCTCCCTTTAGGGGCCGCCACAGTGGATCATCTGCCTGCATCTCACCCCGCTCCTACCACCCTCCGCTGTCACTAAAACCCTCTGTGTGTCCTCGTTCATGACATCCATGAACCTCCTCTAAGCTCCTCCTCTTTCCCTCATGTCGTTAACATCCTTTGTCTGGTATTTGCAGCATCCTTCCTCTGCGCTCGACCAAAAAGGCTCCAAAAGAAGGCCAAAGAAGAAAAAAGAAAGAAAACTATGAGATTGCATCAACCCTGACATGTCTGTACAGTATAAACTTTTTTTTAGGTCAATATTTTGCACGTTGGACTTCTGATATATGAAAGATACAAACTGACAAAATAAATTAAACCTATATAACATTAAGTACATCAACATATTGCAAAAACAAAAAGTGGGAATTCAGAAACACAACATTAAACAAATATGACATGAACTGATATTTTGGTTTTAATTTTATTCTTGGCAGTTACAATCCTCCACATGCTGATAAACCACCACGAGGATAAATAACTAAACAGAGTTGATATAAACGCAAACGCGGTGCAAGACTCCAGGGATTAAAAAAAGAAACACTTGGAGAGACGAAATAAGTCAACGCAAGTGAGAGAAACAGGAACAGAGAGAGGCAGCGATAGAGTATGCACTGCATTTTCCACAGACTCCTGAATAATTGAAGCGCCAGTTGTGTAGCACCAAGTTGTGAGCTGTGTTATCTGCCACCCTGGAGCAGCCATCCAGTGGCTGAACTGTTACACACACACACACACACACACAC